AGAGATTTATGAAGCATTGCGATGCATGAACCATTTAAAAGAATAGTTCATTAAAAAAATGAAAATTTACTGAGAATTGACTCTCAGGCCATCCAAGATGTAGATGATTTTATTTATTCATGGGAAGGGACTTGGAGAAATATTGCATTGAGAGAAACTGTTGCTTCTGGCTAAAATACAACAAAAAAAAGTTGTCTATTCTTTCTCCAGTGAAAAATGTCATCTCGTCTGAATGAGGAGAGAAATCTGCACGGATCAAGCAAGCGACATCAGTCCAAAACAGTTCTAAACAAATGTATTGGTGTATTTTGATGTGAGAGGACATGATGGACTTTCTCACTGGAGGACACGTTATTACCATAGATTACACTTAAAATGAAAAAGCCTTAATGATGAATTTGTTTCTTACAAACAAGTAACCTTTTACATCACAATACATTAATTAATGGACTGGAGTGGTGTGGATTACTGATGGATTATTGTATTTTCATCAGCTGTTTGGACTCTCATTCTGACGGCACCCATTCACTGCAGAAGATCATTAATTTCTGGGTGCAACTAAATCAACTAACTCAAAATAACTTGTGTGACATAATTTTGAAATGCAATGCACTTAGAAATGAAAACGGCATGGGACGTTTTACTTGTTAAATATAGATTTGCTCTTTCATTTATATAGACTTTGAGGCACTTTGATACCCTCACATGCACACGCACACACAAACACATTGGTTTAAATAAAGACATCAAGCAAAACTCTTTTAGCAATGATTTTCATTTTTCTTTCAGAAATATACAGAGCCAAAGCATCATAAGATCACGGACCATTACAGGTAAAGTACATCTTTTTAATGCTTTTACTGATAGAGAGAGTCACTGCAAGAAAATAGTGGTTAACCTTCTTCCATAACCCCAGTACATTACAGTATAATAACTTCAGAGCTGCTGGATTGATTTTCTCGACCTCTATGCTCACATCATGTTTGTTACGGCAGTAGCATGTCACTTGAAGACTAACAAGATATTGTCTTGTGGAAATAAAAATATAAATAACAATCTGACGAAGAAAGTACTCGGGACAGGTAGAAAAGACACGATTGACACGAACCTTTCAGAAAGAGCTGCCCATCATTGTACATAATGATATATTCCGCTCTCTTACGTTCTGAACATTTTACAGAGCACAAATCACCAATGCAATGTGTACAGAAATTATTACACAATAATATGCCTATGCAGCTTCGAATGTAACACCCTCAAGCAAAACTTGCTCAGGGATCGTCATAATAGAGAGGTCTATATAAAACAGTATCGCCGAGAGATGGGAATTCATAACATTTCATCAGCCAGTAGCCCGCCTGGCTGTGCTGAAATTTCAGGGGAGAAATGTAAAAGCCATAAATGTGGTCTGCTGTCTGCGGCTGGCAATGACCCTGTCCTATCATCCAGAGTGGAATTTGTTTAACTGTTTGGTTTGATTGTAAGTGCATGACCATCCGGTGCCTGAAGCGGGCAAGACTTGCGGTCCAGTGGGAGAAGGGATTGAAACTCACCAGGGCTGGGCGATAAGAAAAGTACACAGGCTACAAAAGAGTACGGAGAGCTACTCAAACAGAACAACAGCCCTAATCCAATATTTGCTTACAGACGCCATGTTCATTCTAGCACATAGCGGCTTCTGTACATGAATGGTGACCTGTTTTGGGGGATTTTTCAGTCTTTTGCCATGTTTTAAGACTGTATCGACTAGTCCATATTGTATAATTTGTTATAGCATATGTTCATTTCAAATAATAAATATCCATATGGCTGTATTAGCATTGTAAAGTAGAAGTTAATGCAGTGGCAGAAGGAACGGTACAGTAGCTGCCCTTGATTCGATTTATGTCAGGAGTAAAGGTCCTTGCACACTGAGTCTGAAATGTTCGTATGCGTTTTTTTCGTCAAGAATCTAAATTCTTGCTACGAATGCAAATATGCAGAAAATCGAACCTGATCTGTTTTTTTATTATTATTTATTTTTTATGACGGATGAAAGTTTTGGAGGCAGTTTGTAAGCGTGATTGACACAATGTGAGGTCGTATATATTTTTTTTAACGTGCTAAAATTACGGACGAGAATACGCCGTGTGCAAAGACCATAATGGATAAATATTTTCCATCATTGTTCAGCATTAAAATGATTAACATTAAATGCAATTTAAAGCAGAAGTGTGTAATTTCTGTGCAACCAGCATCACCAAACAGAATTGCAAAAATGATTACTCTTTTTGCCCTCCTCTATTATTACACAAACTGACAGGTAGCCACGCCCCCAAACTAATACAATTGGTTGAGCCATTGTTGCTATGTGTGGCTGGCCAGGATTCTCAAACAAACAGATAAATGTTTTTTTTTTTTTTTGCTGTTTACAAATGGCTTACTTAGAGTTGTCTTTGTTTATTAGTATTGTATAAGTATTGGAGAAATTCACACTTCGGCTCCTGCATTTAAAAGTGATAATACTATGAATTGAGAATTATTGTTTTGCCATTTTCCATATTTACAGGGCATCCACAAATATCTTCAATATTGAGCCTATTTCTTGTTATGCTCAGCTTTAAGGAATTTCTTCTCCCTCGCAATCTGCCATTTCTGGTCAATCTCAATAAAATGATTTCTCCAGTAATCACAAAATGGTCAAAAGGTGTAGAAACCCTGGATCTAAATTCAGTGCACGCTGCGAGCTGGATTGTTGTGTGTTGGAAGATTTCTATAGGTCTGTATATTTTCATTTCACCTTGCAGGAAACAGTTATCAATACAGAAAGACAGGCCAAGGTAAGTAACATATGGACATTTAATTTGAAACACTTCTCTGCATATGTCTATAGCATTGGCTATGCTGAGAGAGAGAGGAAAAATATCAAATAAAAAGTGATGGTTTGTACAGCATCAATGGTGCGATTTGCTTTCTGCACTTTATGAATCAAACTGACTAAAGAACAAAGCAAAATAACTGCAAATTTACACACAGAGAGCATGAGGGATTTATATACAGTGTAGTGAGGACTGAGCTGCATTATCAGCACTGAATCAGGCCTTTTCGTGTTTAAGCCCCACAATGGGCACCAATCCATTTGTACAATTAGACTCATCCAACAGCACTCATGTATGAAACCCATTCAAATGCCACAAATATAATCATACGTAAAGTGCTTACAGCGCCGACTGACTCAGCGGCGTCACACCTTGCAGTGTTTCTTGTATTCGGGTTGAAGGGAGGGATTGCCAGGTTGGTACAAATTACAACTCTTCCTCTGGGTCAAAACCAAGATCTTTGCAGTTCAAGTGCGAGACCGCCACAGTTCCTCCTCCTTGTTTATATGAGGGATCGCCTCTGGTCATATTTATCTTTATGAGCGAGGAGGAATGGGAGATAACTTGAAGAGGAGATAAGAGAGGAGTGAAGTGTTGGAAGCTTCGATAAGCAAAACAGACTGATAGCTTTCACGCCCTATCTGTTTGTGCAGTAACAAGACTGGAGGGGTTAGTCAACTAAATTTACTGTAGATTCAGAGCGCCATATAACCCGGGAAATCTTTGGCTGTGAAACAGGTGTCGGTATCACCAGTTGCAAGCACAATTGGTACTCGTACTGGGATGAGCCTGAACATTGTTATAAGGGGTCAGTGGCAATTTCATACAATTATGCCACTTAAATGTAACACCACATAGATAATGGCTGTACTCTAGTCTAGCACTAGAAACATGTTGCCATAATTTTGACTTTTTTTAGCAGTCTCAATATTTTTCCCCAGGATAGCAATAACCAAAACGCAGAATGAATTGGGAAATAGAGCAGATGATCTAATCGATCAAATGCACCCATTTCTTTTTGCAAAGCAAAGTGGGTCAGCATCATTGGAACTGTGACTTAAGCTAAAGTCTCTTGCGATGAGCCCTGGAAGAGTTATAGTTTCAGAACAGCTGGAAATATGTCTGTCTGGAGCTATTCTTGCCAAAGGTTTTGTCACTATAATTGGCTGAATGTCTCTAGTTTCCAGCTTTTCATACACCACCGCACTGGCTTTTGGGTAGTTTGTGTCTTTCTGCATGTCATACGTAGCTTGATTGTTGTTAGATTGATTCCAGTACGCTGATTCGGGTCGAAGAGTGGTTTTACTTTACAAGTGTCGAGTCTAGAAGTGCTATCAGAGTTATCAGTAGTGCCGTAAATGGCAATCTCAGTTCTGTAGACTAAAACATTGGAAGAAAGAAAAGTAAAACAACATACATTTACAATAAGCATGAATGCCCACACTCCATACAAAAAACATGTACACAAATTGCTCACTTATAACAGTGAGAGTACTCAATGCTGTACAGTGGCAGCCACATGAACAGTAGACAGAATCAATCCGGAGCAAAAAGTGAACTACTCAGATCTTGATTTACTGTGTTTTCAATGTAAACTAAATTTGTGTTCCACAAGAAAAAAAGCAGTTTGAAAAGATATCTAGCACATGTGCAACAAGCTCAGAGTATTTTAAAAAAGTGAAAAACCCTCTTCTTATAACCACAAATGTCGACACACCTTAAATAGTCTTACTCAAGGCAAGCAGATTACATCATCCTCCTAGTCCCCAGTGCGAGTCCAATTAATTTTTTAAAACCATGTTGTTAAAACACTGAAAATAAAGAATTTTCAGAAAGAAAGAACAACAAAGTACACAAATATATCTTATCTCAGCATGGTAAACCGACAGCTCAGAGCCACATCTCACATTTGTATGTCAGACAAACCTTTGTCAGAAGGGCCAGAATCCAAAGATTCTGACAGACATTAGTTGTTAGTTCAGTTCATAA